AAATAATTACACCTTAACGAGTGTCAGGTGTCCAGAAGTGCAAATCGTTTCGTGTGTTTTTTTTTTTGCGCTTTAAGATTGAATTTGTTTTCTTCATTATTACTAGAATTGTATACAAGAATTTCTGTTTTATTGATACAGTTGTTTTTTAATGGTAAGTCGTCGAAGATAGTGTGATAATTATATATATTTATTTCGATAATTTGAAAGAATGTGTTTTTCTTGATCACAGTCCAAATAATGTGTTATTATTATTATTACACGTATTTGTCATTATTATTATTATTTTTAGAGATTATTAATTATTAATGCTGTCATTATTATCATTATTATTATCATTATTATTATGGATTTCACTTTTATTTTCAGTCGTTTTATTTCTTTATTTTCATTTTCCTCAACTTTATTTATCAGTCTCGTTAGTTTATTACCGTGTTTCCAGTATTGTTCTTTTCAGTTTATTTCATATATTTCAGTCATCTTAATTTTCAATATATTTTAGATTCTTATGAATTATGTATACATATGTATATAGACATTTAATTCATGCAGTGAACAAGAAACTATATACACCACTAAACACTATATACACCACTAAACACTATATACACCACTCATAAACACTATATACACCACTAAACACACCACTAAACACATATATACACCATAAACACTATATGACATTGACCTATTCAGTAAACACAAAGCAATACATGACCATAAACATCAGATTTAGGAACAGTATTCACGAGACGCCGAGATAAAGTTGTTTAACGAACTTAGACATTACCTATTTTCTCAATAAACTTTTCTAACTTTTGAGAAACGAGTTTGTGGACCCCAAAAGTTTAAGAAGATGTAATTTTTTTTTTTGGGGAGGGAGGGAGGGGAGGGAGGGGGAGGGGAGGGGAGGGGGCTAAAGAGGGAGGAGGGAGAGGGAGGTCCAGGTGAGCCAATGTATCCTGCCGCTGTTACACACCTCCTCCCTCCGCCCTCCCTCAGTCTTTCGTCAACTTTACTTACGAATGTTGAATGGAAACAATCTTAGATATGAAAATACGAGGATTTATTTATTTTATGACTACCGCTACTTACTACTACTAACACTACTACTACTACTAATGCATAGTAATAATAAAATAATAATAACAGGTGAGGTTGTGTCGTAGCTCCGCATTACGTCACCACACACCTTCGTAGCTCCGCATTACGTCACCACACACCTTCGTAGCTCCGCATTACGTCATCACACACCTTCGTAGCCCCGCACACGTCATCACACACCTTAGTAGCTCCGCATTATGTCATCACACACCTTAGTAGCTCCGCACAGTCATCACACAACCTTAGTAGCCCGCACAGTCATCACACACCTTAGTAGCTCCGCATTATGTCATCACACACCTTAGTAGCTCCGCATTACGTCACCACACACCTTCAGCTCCGCATTATCATCACACACCTTCGTAGCTCCGCATTACGTCATCACACACATTCGTAGCCCGCATTACGTCACCACACACCTTCGTAGCTCCGCATTACGTCATCACACACCTTCGTAGCTCCGCATTACGTCACCACACACTCGTAGCTCCGCACACGTCACCACACACCTTCGTAGCTCCGCATTACGTCATCACACACCTTAGTAGCTCCGCATTATGTCATCACACACCTTAGTAGCCCGCATTATGTCATCACACACCTTAGTAGCCCGCATTATGTCATCACACACCTAGTAGCTCCGCACAGTCACCACACACCATAGTAGCCCGCACAGTCATCACACACCTTAGTAGCTCCGCACAGTCATCACACCTTAGTAGCTCCTGCATTATGTCATCACACACCTTAGTAGCTCCGCATTACGTCATCACACACCTTAGTAGCTCCCGCACAGTCATCACACACCTTAGTAGCTCCCGCACACGTCACCACACACCTTAGTAGCTCCGCATTACGTCATCACACACAACTTAGTAGCTCCGCACACACACACACACCTTAGTAGCTCCACACAGTCATCACACACCTAGTAGCTCCGCACACAATACACACCTTAGTAGCTCCACACATCACACACCTTAGTAGCTCCCACAGTCACCACACACCTTAGTAGCTCCGCATTACGTCACCACACACCTTAGTAGCTCCCACAGTCATCACACACCTAGTAGCCCGCACAGTCATCACACACCTTAGTGCTCCGCACAGTCATCACACACCTTAGTAGCTCCAGCACAGTCATCTGACACACCTAGTACTCCCGCACAGTCATCACAACCTTAGTAGCTCCGCACAGTCATCACACACCTTAGTAGCTCCGCACAGTCATCACACACCTTAGTAGCTCCTGCACAGTCATCACACACCTTAGTAGCTCCACAGTCATCACACACCTTAGTGAGCCCGCATGTCATCACACACCTTAGTAGCCCGCACAGTCATCACACACCTAGTAGCTCCGCACAGTTATCACACACCTTAGTAGCTCCTGCACAGTCATCACACACTTAGTAGCTCCGCACAGTCATCACACACCTTAGTGAGCCCACACAGTCATCACATCTGTTAGTTAATGGTTTACCTAGGCAAGTGATTAGGTTAGCTAGGGTAAGGTAACAGAATTAGACTGTAAGTAGGGAAGTTAGGTTTGCTAGTTAGGTAGAGACAAAGTAGCTTTTAAGGATTACGTTTAGTTAGAATTAGTTTAATGTGTTCTTTTAGTCGAGGCCTTAAGGTGAATCAATTAAATCTCGTCTTAGAAATATTTTAAAACAAAACGAAAACCAACACACCGAGGCTCCTGTAAAAGGATAAAAAAAATAAATAAATAAACACACCTCAGGTTACGTGGTGATTAAATCCAAACATCAGGTTAATTGGCAGACAGGCCAGGTATGTGCGCGCGCGTGTGATGATAATAATAATAATAATAATAATACATAATAATAATAATAATAATAATAATAATTAATAATAATTATAATAATAAACGGTTTATTAATGTTAAGCCGGTGTCAAAAAAAAATATACAAACTTACATGTGATGATCATAATGATATACGTTCAATACATTTACAGGGCTGCATACACAAAAATCAGAGAGCTTATATTTTAACAATAGTGGATGGTGCTGTTCTATATCTATCGGTGCCGGCTCTATGTACCGAATTTTGTTGTTGTGGCGGACCGCGAGGTGGGTGGGGACTGAAGGCAGTAGGTAAGAGGATGGTGCAGTAGTCCACTGCCAAACCCTGCTACGTGGTAAGGAGGTCACTGGGGATGGCATCCAGTGTAGAGAGATATGGTAGCCAGGAGTAGTCTGGCGCGAAGACTTCTGTACTCTCAGCTGATGCATTGGACAGAAGACAACAGGACGTTAATTTGGGGAGAATAAATGCTTTGTAGATAGTCCCTAGCTCTGGCGTGAGTGCCCCACGAACTGACGTCGTAGCATGTAGAGTCGGTCAATGAGGCTGCCTTGATTGTGTTGTTTACATGGTCCTACCAAACCAGTTTGTATCTGTAGTTAACACCAGGAATTTGCAGACAAAAACTAAAACTGAGAGGATAAACCCACTGTGACTGCTTGAACTTACCGGAGTGATGTATTGATGCATGACGACGGTTTTGTGTGATTGATGGTGACCCTCATCCTCTGTAATCCATGCCTGTGTGTGTGGGGGGGAGGAAGGTCTTTGTGTCATTTCAGGTCTGTCATAATCAATCTCTCATTGGTGACTTTATATCTCTCACACACCCCATCTCTTCATGCCTCATTCCCTCATCAACGAGACCTTCCGCCTCACGGAGCCTAATGTTTCTAAACGTCAGATCAAAAGAAGATAGAGCACACAAGTTTAATCTTGAAGGAAGGAAGGTCTTAGCTGTTGTTTGGGCCAATACTGAACTACTGTTGTTAAGCCACACATAGAATTACATAGAAAAAGAAAGGAAAGGCGAAAAACCGCAGAACATAGTAGCATTACAGTTGGCCGCGGGATCAAAGTAGATGGCGCGTGTGCAAGGAGCAGGTCGTTTGTTTGACAGGAAATATCTACATTTAACCATGAGGGGCGTCAGTGGCGTCACTAATAAAACAGATCACCCTGAGCCAGGTTTCCACGTTGCCATATATTATTGATCATATAGAATTTACTATACGTGTGTGTGTTTTATTATTTATATAATAAATAGACAAGAAGTTGACGAGCTCCGTCTTTTAAATATTCTCGGTTATTGTTACATTAAAGTTATATTGTTAAGATTAATAATATCTTTATTATTATTACTGTTATTATTATTATTACATACACATATTACATAGTATTATTGTTATCATTAGTTAAATCACAAAGCAAACAGTCCGAGAAATAAAATATCATGCAATTAAACTATCAACAATATTTCAACAACAATTACCATATGTCGTTTAGCAGAGTTTTTAAATGATGCTCTACCAGATTATGAATGTGTTTATACGCAAAATTTACCCCCACCCTCCTCTCCCCAGAACTTGAAACCCACCCACACCTTGACCATCCCTCCAACCCCCCAGAACTTGACCTGTCCTTCCAACCAGAACTTGACCGTGTCCCTCCACCCCAGAACTGACCGTGTCCCCTTCCCACCTCCCCAGAACTTGCACCGTGTCCTTCAACCCCACAGAACTTGACCAGTCCTTCCACCTCCCCAAGAACTCAAGACCAAACCCTTCCACCCCCAGAACCAGACCCGTGTCTTCAACCTCCCCAGAACTTGACCATCCTCTCCCACCCCAGAACCTGACCGTGTCCTTCCACCTCCTCAGAACCTTGACCGTGTCCTCCCACCCCCAGAACTGACCGTGTCCCTCCACCCCAGAACCTTGAACCAAATCCTTCCACCCCCAGAACCCTGAACTGAGTCCTTCCACCCCCAGTCCCACCAAATCTCACCCCCAGAACTTGTGTCCTTCAACCCCAGAACCTGACCTGTCCCTCCACCCCCAGAACTGAATGTCCCTTCCACCTCCCCCAACTGACCTGTCTTCCACCCCAGAACTTGACCGTGTCCCTCCACCCCAGAACTTGACCTGTCCTTCCACCCCAGACCGTGTCCTCCACCCCCAAGAACTTGGAACAGAATCACCTCCACCCCCAGAACCTGACCGTCCCTTCCACCCCCAGAACTTGACCGTGTCCTTTCCCACCCCAGAACTTGACCGTGTCCCCCCCCCAGAACTTGAACGTCCTTCCACCCCCCTGACTGTCCCTCCCACCCCAGAACTTGATCACCCCCAGAACTCTAACGTAGTCCCCCCCCCAGAACTTGACCGTGTCCTTCCAACCCTAAACTTAACCGTGTCCCTCCACCCCAGAACTTGACCGTGTCCTTCACCCCAGAACCACTGTCCTTCCAACCCCCCAGAACCTGACCAAAGTCCTTCCAACCCCAGAACTTGACAAATCCTTCAACCCCCCAGAACCTGACCGTGTCCTTCCACCCCCAGAACTCGACCAAACCTCAATTCCAGAACCTGACCGTGTCCTTCCACCCCAAGAACTTGACAGCAACTTCCCCTAACAGAACTTGAATGTACTAAAGTTTCTGAGCTAACTTTTATCACAGGCCAGTTATCCGATTATGATGCCTTTTTCTTCATCTTTGGGAAAAGAAGGCGGCAGAAAAGGGCCGAGAGGGGGCAGTGATATTGTCGCCATCCTATTAATAACCTGTCCCTCACCCTCTGTCTCCTCCTCTAGCAATGCAACTGAACGAATGA